ACAGAAAGGACAAAGTTGAAGTTTTATTTGTCTTTATTTACAGCAACATCATTTGGGATGATTTTTTTTGGTACGTCTGATGTCTCTAAAAGCCATGCCAGAGTATTTGCTTTCTGAAAGTCTCTTCTGTGAGCAGGTATTCCCTGCTAATGAGCTTTTGTTTTATGTTGATCAAAGGCTTTTTCAGTGCTAAAACTATAGCTATGGAAGATTTTTAGTCATTTTTAGTCACCCTAATAGCATTTTTAGCATTGTAATGACTATGCTGGTTATAAAATTCTGAAGATAAATAAAAGTATTTTTATTCTTATATGTGGATGTTTGCTGTTCAGGGTAGATACTGCTGCTAAATAAAAACTTTTCAAAGCTTCCAGAGTTAGGTACAAGCTCACATATCTGCAGTCTCTGTGACCTGGGCTGGATGTGACATCTAATCATTTTTTCTCTGGAAGGAGGAAAATCAGTCCTGGAGTCTTCTTCCTAGTCACTGCAGGCTTCTGGATCTTTCTCTCTCATCACTGAGGCCGGCTACAATCAGTGAGCTGTGACACCATTGCCACAGTAAACTTTGCCCTAGAAGCATTTCCCTTTAACCTTGCTCTAAGCGTGCTGCTGACAACGTGCAGGAGCTGGGCTGAGGCTGCAGCACACTAATTGCATTATAGTAATGCTCTGTGGCGTGAGCAGCACCAGGGCACCGGCACACGTGCGCCTGTCCTTCCCGACAGCTGGCTAGCCAGGGCGGATGCAGCAGTCTCCAGATCCACAGCAAAGATTCTTTGGACCCATGCTCCATCCTGGCGAGCAATATGGCTTTGTTTTGACTCAAAACCAAATGTATTGCATAAAGTTCATTGATAAAATGAAGCTATGCCCAGCTCTTCTAGATCAGGAGTAAGGAAATGCTGATACACCAGGAGATTTTGTGCATATTGACATACAGAGGAAAACTTGCAGGTTCATGCATTGTTGCTTCATAATCCCTGGTATAGTATTGCCCAAGCCAACGTCTCTTGAGTGGCAAAGCTTCCTCAGGCCAGCTAAGCAACTGTAGCACATGTTTCATCATGCCTGCCCACTGATGACATGGCTGGGAAGGGAAAACCACACTTGTACAACAAGGAAACAGAAACAAAACTGTGCTACCTATGCAATTTTGCCCATCCATGCCTTGGGGGTGAGTAGCTATTATTCATAGACTGCTTTAACTTTTTTCTACAGCTAGGGATAGGCCAAAGAGTAAAATTTTGGCAGTCATATCCAGTTTTCCTGAAAAAATTTTAAGGCTTTCTCAAAAGGGTATCTTATCTAAAAGACTACCACTTAGAAAAGATGGTCTATATACACAATATGTCTGTATGCTAGAAGGAAAGCAAGATCCTCCCTTACACAGCAGAGCTCTATCAGATTGAGTTGCTTCCAATTTAAACGTATGGGCAGTTTAATGAGTAAAGGTCTAGGAAAAAGTTACACCTCCTATGGAACCTGATTACTGATATGTTGCAGACGAGGAGGTGATGCTCTGCCCTGCCCAAGCAGCAGGTATTGTGACTCCAAAACACAAAATATGGCTTAGCTTGCATGCAGGAGGTGAATCTACAGCTACATGAAGAGAAACCTCAAACCCTGCTGGCCATAGCTCCCACGTCAGATGAAGCATCACTACTCACTGAAGGAATAGAATGAAGGTCTCTGTGCACATTGCCTTGCACTTGGTAATGAAGAACTGTAATACCCTCCCCTCCTACAAGGTGCAAGGGTTTGACTGCCTCAGGAAAGCATTCACCCTGGTTAGGCTCAAGCTGCCAAGGTGGTGGTTGCTCCTAAATGTGGCTACGTGCCTGCCGTGCAGCTCATTTCCTCAGAAAAATTTACACTTTTCATTGTAAATTTGATTCTCCTTTTCTTGGACAATATATAGTTCATTGTGGAAATGAGCAAAACTTCAGAGAATTTATTCTGTCCGTACTGAAACAATAATATGTGGCATAGGGATTCAAGGCTGCCCATAGGTAGCATGTATTTGCTGCTTCTCTTTTCATATATCTAAAGAGGAGACTACACAAACACAAAAGGTCTGATTATGATGTCAGCCTCAAACCGGGCAGGAATTGAGATTTACAAGGATGAATTCCTGTGGCTCAAGCACCTCTGGATATCTGAACATTTTAGTTTGCCTCCCAAAGTAGGAGACAGATATGGCAAATATACACTGTTGAGATAAGAAACAATGTATATTTTGTAGCTCAGGCCCTTGTACCTTACCCAGAAGAATACATCTCTGGCCCCTCTAGTTACTTTCTTTGCTACATGGACAGTTTCAGCACTATTCTGTTTCAAAGAAGTTTTGAGATGTGGCATTGATGATATCACAGCCAGTAATCCATATTGCTGGATTAATTAATTTGCAAAACATTAGAACTTTGTAAGAATTGAGATTTTTTTTCACTGTATACTAACAATCTTTATTTCAGAAAAGAGAGATAAGAGTCTCTTCTTGTATTTTATATGAATTTACATGCCTAGACCTGAAAAATTTGTGAGGAAAATAAATCAGACCAAATGACTTGTGGGAGGATTCAAAACTGTAGCAATGTTGAGCACAGGTGGGTAACTGGATCTTCAGGTACTTCAGATCCAGGAATTCTGTCTCACCACTAGATGGAAATAGTGGATTTTTCATCTTCTGCTGCATTATCAGCACTTATACCTGACTACCATTTGCATATCGTAAGCCATCTGCAGGCAGCACTGCAGAAATGTGGATCCAAAATTATTTGCTGGTGTATGTGGAGTAAAGCCAAGATTTCTATTTCTGGAAATTGTCCTTGCTTTACAAGACTGAAGACTTCCTAATTCCTGAAGGATGATTCTGTTTGATCCCTAATCTAATGGCTTTTCATTTATCCTTTCTGTAAGCAACCAGAGACTGCAGCATGGACAGCAAGTTGATTCAACTATCATGAATTAGCCAGTAAACATCACTCTAATTTAACATTTACTCTGAAATCTTTTACACAAGACATACACAAAATTAAATTTAAAAAAAAATGGAAGAATGTTGAAAGTCTTGTGTTTCAATATACCTACTTAATAACACAAAAGAGAAGCAATGTGACTTGCTGTCTTATGAGCAGACGCTATAATGTTATTTGCATATTAAAAACAAACATATAGTCAGAGAAGCAGAAAGTAATTAAAGACAACTCTGTAGGGAAGTTAGAGGAATTAAAAAAAAATCAGTTCAAACATGATCTGTTTATTTTGTTTATGACAAATCTGACTTTCTACAAAGTTTTGAAACTTCTAGCTGCTGTGGGAAGTTGTATCACAGCAATGCATAAAGGAAAAAGGTCTCCTTGCTCCAAATCATTTGGCTTTATGGCACTTTCTCATATTATGAAATGCTGGAACCAGCACAGAACCTGCTTTGCTGTCTTCCCTGGTTTTGACGCTTTTGATACCTTCATCTCAAACTCCTTCAGGAAAGTAATAGCTGAGAAGTGTAGTAACTGTTATTCCATAAAAAAACCTTGAGATACCAGATGTATCTTCACATTTCTCTTTTTCCAGACAGGAGAAAGTAGCTGTGGTTTTCATCCAGTGTGATATAAGGCCAAAAGAGACAGAGATTGGCATAACCCTGATGTCGGAAACAAATCTTGGGGGTACATAGAAATCAGCATTTTTTTTTTTCTTTTTGTGGCTTAAAAACAGCAGCTTCCTCACAGAATATGACAGTAAATCACTCACCTGACAAAATTTGACAAAAGATTGGTCAAAACCTCACAGGGTCTGTTGAGACAGTATATTTTATGATGCCACTTCTACTACTAAGAAGTAGAGATTGCAGTTCAAGATGGACTAAAAGCAAGATATCATATCTCCATTTTTCCAATGCTAAGGGGTGAGGTTGAATTCAGGCTTTGATTTTTCCTGTAGTGCAAGCACCCACATTAATTCTGTATTTTGATTGATTTTGTTTGCTAAACTGACCAGTGTGTGTACGTAGAAGGTCTGTTCCCGGGTCACAGTAACTGTGGATTGCTGTAGTTCAATAATACGTGATGTACCAGTGGGAGTTGGGGAACTGTTGGGAAGGCTGGCAATCAAACCCAATAAACTGCTTTGGGATGCTGATGCCTTATTGCTCTGTCTCTGTGCCATATGATGATTTTTTGGATTAGCCTTAAAAAACCCATGACATGTAATAAACAGTATAATTTAGCATTTAGAGTCCAGCTAGGAGTGCGTGGGTACCGGCACTCAGCATACTGGATTCTTTGAGCACGCAGGATGGAGTTTGTGTTCGAAGGAGCGTTGAGGCCACAACATCCCTCGGCAGGACAGCTCTGGCAGTGTCCCACCGCTCCTGGGTGTTCCCGTGCTGAGGTGCAAAGAGGGGTTGCGAGTCTGTGTGTGCGTGTGAGTATGTGAGTGTGAGTGTGCATTTTCTGTGTGTGTGTCTGTGTGTGCATGAGTGTGTGTGTGCGAGTGTATCTGTATGTGTGTATGTGTCTGTCTGCGTGTGTGTGTCTGTCTGTGTCTGCCTGTGTGTGTGTGTGTGTGTCTGCCTCTGTGTCTGTGTGTGTGTGTGTCTGCCTCTCTCTCTGTGTGTGTGTGTGTGTGTGTGTGTGTGTGTGTGTCTGCCTCTGTGTGTCTGTGTGTGAGTGTGTCTGCCTCTCTGTGTGTGTCTGTGTGTGTGTGTGTGTGTGAGCCTCTGTGTGTGAGTGTGTCTGCCTCTGTGTGTGTGTCTGTGTGTGTGTGAGTGTGTCTGCCTCTCTATGTGTGTCTGTGTGTGTGTGTGTCTACCTCTCTGTGTGTGTCTGTGTGTGAGTGTGTCTGCCTCTCTGGGTGTGTCTCTGTGTGTGTGTGTGTGTGTGTCTGCCTCTGTGTGTCTGTGTGTGAGTGTGTCTGCCTCTCTGTGTGTGTCCGTGCGTGTCTGCCTCTGTGTGTGAGTGTGTCAGTCCGTGTGTCCGTGTGTGTGCGGGCGGAGGGCGGGCAGTGCCGCGGCGTGCCCGCTCTTGCCGCCGCCGCGGGCGGGACTCTCCGGGCGGGGGCTCGGCGGGGAAGGGGCCGGGGCGCGGCGGGAGCCCCATTGGCTCTTCCGGGCAGCACATGTTGCCGGCCCGGCTATAAAGGCGGCCGCGGCTGCGCTGCAGCCCGTCCTTCTGCCTTCACGTTTCTACAGGGACGCCATCAGCTCCAGTGCCGCCGCCATGGCCATCGACGCGTTTTTGGGTAAATGGTGCCTCATCTCCAGCGAGGGCTTCGAGGAGTACATGAAGGAGCTGGGTAAGAAGCCGGCGGCTCCCCGCCCCCGAGAGGGAGGGATGGATGTCAGGATGCCGCCCCGGGGATGTGGTGTTGCTGCCGGCCGGCGAGGCTCTGTCCAAGGTCCGCGGGGAACGTGTTCCCGGAGCCGGGCCCGAGGGTGGGATGCAGCCCGGCCGAGAGCCGCGGATGGGCGGCGGCTGCGGGGGTGACGCCGGGATTCTCCGGGATGCAGCGCCGGGGGCTCCGCTCCCTCTCGGCCCCGGGAGCGGAGCGCTGGCCGGCAGCAGACCTTTCCTGGCGGGAGAGCTGTCGCCGCTGGCCCCGCGTCCCAAAGATGTCAGCGACCCTTTTTGCATCGTAATTGCTGCGAGGCAGGTGCCGGCACCATCGGGCGCCCTGGCGCCGCACGGCGCTGCGCCCTCCCCGCGGCAGCCGGGATTAGCGGCCGGTGCCGGCGGCGATCGGGCCGGCTCGCCGCTCCCTCCCGGTAATGCCCGGGCGGGGCTGCGGGGGCTCGGCGCTGCCCCGGCCCCAGGGGTGCGGCGGCCGCACGGCAGCGCCGGGCTGGGTCACAGACCTGCTGAGCCAGGGCTGCCGCCTCGCGGAGTCACCTTGGGTGTCTCCTTCCGAAAAAGCCAAACTGGATTAGCCGCCTCTGGGTAACCGGCTATACTGCCGGAGGCTGTTTGCCTGCTTTCTTCTGTGGGTAGTCACACCTTTATCTAGGGGGATGATCCTGGATTGTTATCCCTGTGTCCAGGTTGCCCTACATTTTATAACACGACGTTACTGGATGAAGAACACACCTAACAGACCAGGAGCCTCATCTGCAAGCTCTGATTTACCACTTTCCTATGAGCATCCTGGCTGACAGGTGATAGATACCTGGCAGTGTCTATATGGCCCAGAAGCTATTATTTTCTGCAATTTATTCACAGATGAAAGCCGTGATATTTTCTCAAGAGGTAGAAGATGTAACCTTATCCTTATAGGGAAGAGAGGAAGGAATTTAAGTCTTGTGTTCTTCATGTAAAATACAAAAAGCATCACTGCATTTATGCTCTGCAGACAGTGGTGGCTGTAATTACATTTTGGGAGGCCTGTGGTAGGTATGATATGAGAAAGCCTTTTGGACTGAATTCTTTGGAAGACTTTGGAGGAAATTCAAAAATTTTAAGCTCAGCTTCGTTGAGCCATGGATTAGGATGCCTCGGTGCCTTGACTTCGAATGGCCATACCTAGGTGTGTGCCAAGTTGCAACTTCAAAGCACAAATTAGGTGCTGCAATTGCAGAGCACCTCCCATGTGTAGGTAGCACCAGACTGTTGTTTGGTTTTAGATTGAATTCATAAATCAGTCACTTTTCTATTTTCTATTTACAATTTAGGCATTAAATTTATACCGAGTCACATTTTAGGAGCCAGTAATTTACTGGATTTCATTCTTGCTGCCTACTTGTGAAACTCTCTGCCTTAGATCATATTGATGCACCATAAACGAGACCATGCAGATTCTGCTCCTTCTGTGTAAAAAAACATTTGAGGACAAAGAAGTTGGAATTTCACTTCTTACCATATGGAAGACATGAAGCTCATCTCTGTTTAGTTGGATCCTAAGCCGTAGCTGATCAAATAACTCCCTGATTACTCTGGCCTGGACTACAGCAACAGAATGTGTGTGGAGGTTACTGTGGCAGTAATTTCCAGTTCTGATCAGAAAAGCTGGACTGAGGATAACTGCTTATTCTCTGTGAACTCAAGCTTAAGGCTCAATCCTGGAATTTCATTTGAGTCTGGAGAAGCAGTGTCTGGAAAGTACTTTATTTCCCTCTCAAGGACTCAACCCTTACCTCCACATACCAGGGGAAGGCTGTGCTGATATTTGACAACATTTTTTAACTACTCCAGTTGCAGAACCCAGGCACTCACTGACTTGGTGGTGCTTTCTGTCCCATTTGGTTGCATATTAATTCATGGTTCAGATATGCACTTACCAGTTTGATGGATGCACGTTTGTTGCTTGCTGCCTTCTTATTTGTATTTATAAAAAAGATTCAAGCTTATCCCTCAAACAGTGCATGCAAGGGCTGAAGCAGGGTGAATCTGTAGGGTTTTGAGGGCTGCTGTCTCCAGATCATGAATTTTCAGCCTTTTGCAAATTGCTCATTTCTCCATTTCTCTGTTTTTTGCATATGTGTGGAAGCAATATTTTTATTATAATGATTTTCTAATTCACAACTCCATACTTGGTAAACAGGATGTAAAATATGAAATTTATTTTAAAATGGCATGTTTACAATGGTGTACAAATTAATGGAAGGGTATTCATTGAGTAAGTTTGAATAAAGTGGATTCATCTGCTAATAAAAATAATTTGTAGAACTTTTAAAGTGTTCAGAATTTGAAGAAATATTTTTATTTTAGTTTAAGCTGTTGTATTTGTTTTCCTTTTTGCTATTTATTTCTGTTTGAAAAAAAAAAAAACAACAGTGCTGAGATATCTAGAAATACTCTACAGGGCAAAATAAATTTCCTCTCTGAGGAAACAAAAGAGTAACTCTGCAAATAAGCTTTTTTCCTTCCTCATCTGTGGAAAATTTAAAACATCCTTCTTCTTTGTGGCTCTTGAGCTTTGATTCTCAAGTGTACTTAAGTGCCTAATTAAATGGGAATTAGGTATTTGAATTCTCGTGTGGCCCTAAGCCTCAGGGTTTACTGACTTGGTGACACTCTGTGCCTCTTGCCTTGCAGGTGTGGGTATGGCTATGAGAAAAATGGGAAGCATGGCCAAACCAGACGTGTACATTATTAAGGATGGGGACACAATCACCGTCAAAACAGAAAGCACCTTCAAAACTTCACAGTTCAGCTTCAAGCTTGGTGAGAAATTTGAGGAAAATACATTAGATGGCAGGAAAACTCAGGTCAGTATATTAGACTTTCTGTTGAAAAAAGGCAATTCTTTGGGTGTTTTACAGAGGGAGATGATATTTTAACATCAGCTTTGACATCCACACTAACAGTGCTTTATTCAATGAGCAGTTGTCTCTGTAAGTCTCATTGAAATATTTTTTTTAACATGGATTAAGCAAATTCCAAAGAGGGAGAGTGCTGAAATCAATAGTCTTGTGTATTTTGCTGTTTTCATTCTGTAGCAGAAGCATGTTTTTAGTAAAACTAACAGACCTCTAAATCCCTGTTAAAGCCAAATGCCACTTCATTTGAAGACTGTGGAAAAAAATGCCATTGATGTTTAATCAGAGGGCAATTCAGCCCTAGGGTTAACCTTTCTGCTGTGTCTCATATTTGCATAACAAGAGAGCCTCGTTCAGTGTGGGGTGGGATCAGACAGCAAGGTAACCATGTGAATTACAGGCACTAAACTCCAGTTTTAGAAGGCAAAGAGTTTCTGCTTGCACCTAGAAGGGAGAATATTTATCCTAAAAGAGGTAAAACGTAAAGGATTTCCTCCTCATTTCCTCCTATGAGTGCTCTCTGTTTATCACCCCCCTCCCTCCAGCCACACACTTTCAGTTCATATATTACTGCAAGATCAGATAAATGCAACACAAAAGCTCAAAGCCTGTGTTACAAGGAGATGAACAGAGAGCATCTTCTGCTCCTGTTAATTGAAATTGTGGGTGCTGTCAAATGTTTGTCTGATGCAGAAATGTGTCAGAGCAGTAAGTGAATGAGTAGTGAGTTAGTTACTGTAAGAAGTGGATTGATAAAATGTTTAAGATAATTTCTGGCATTGTAGTTGTCAATGATAAAATTATTATTGAGTGAGCTGGGGTGGGAATCTTTCATTTGGAATAAGGTATTGAAAAGCCTCAGTGCTGCCCAAATGTCATGGGGAAAATATTGATGGTCAGGTTCTTCTTTCAGACCCTTGTCAGCTTAAAAGATGATGGGTCATTGATTCAAGAGCAGGAATGGGATGGCAAGAAGACCACAATAACAAGGAAGCTAGTGGATGGACAGTTGATGGTGGTGAGTTCAGTCCCACTTTCTGATCCCCAAGTGCTGCTGGTTGGTAGCCTGAAATGTAACTCCTAACACGTCATTTGTCCTTGTTGGTCTGCACTGAGATGTAAATTAATAAATCCACCTCTTTATCTTCCAGGAGTGTGACATGAATGGTGTCAAGTGTGTTAGAGTCTACCAAAAGGCATGAGGACATCTCTTCAGGTTCAGTAGGAACTTGCTGCAAAAACTCAGTTCAGTGGACAGAGCTCCTTTTCACTCCGTATTTTCCATTTCCCTGTTTTCTAGTATTTCAATGGACTGAGTAGCTGAGTGCAATTCTTTTTAAAGGCCGTGATGTAACTATTATGTAACTATTCTGAACTTAGGCTATTAAATAAAATTGTGGAATATATGAAGTGGAAACATTGTTACTAGTGGAATTTTAAGCGAGGTTTTGAAAAAACACATTTTGGTTTAGGCTCTTCTACAATCTGCCTTCAGCACAAAACAAGCCAATATATCACAAACATCCCTACTTTCTAAGATAGAAAAAACACTGAAAGTTTCGACTGTGGAGTTGTTTCAATTTCAAATTTTACTAACTTCCATTTACTAAGTAAATAGGATTGTGTGGGTATAAATACGAGAAGCTAAATTGGTGTTTTAAGTAGAGCAATGGATTTTCAGGGTTAGTTTGGGACTTTTTGTGTTTCAAACCCACAGTTTGCCTAATTTCAATATATAATACCCCCAGTTTTCTTGATATATAATACCCACACTATTTCCCAAAATATAATACCCACAGTTTTCTTAATATATAATTCCCACACTATTTCTCAATATATAATACCCGCAGTTTTCTTAATCTCCAGATATACCAATAAGCCAATGAACATGCTAAATCCAAGCAAGTACATACACTTTCTTGAAAGGAAGCTTTATTTTAAGAAGACTTTTCCTAGCAAAGCTCTTATTCCATATCTAGTAACATTGTCAAAATTTTTAACCAAAATCTGCTGAAATACTGCCTAAAACCTAAAGTCTCATTTTATTTATTTTTGTTTGAAACACCTAGCAATGGAATTTATATGCTTTGGAGTGCCATAATAAATAATCATAAATATCAGTGTCTTGAGTATTGCTTATACTCTGGTTGGGAAACAGAGCCTATAATGCTATTCTGCCAAAGAGATGTCAGACGAGACAAACAATTAAAAAGGATTAGATGAATTTCTGTGATACCAGACAAGCATGACCTAAAAGTGAAACCATTTGGTGACAGGAAGGCTTCCACAAATTCAGGAGCCTTGGGGACCATGCAATTGCACATGTCCTGTTTGCTGCATCCGTCATTGCAGAATCAATTTTACCTCTGAGATTTTAGTTGCTCAGTGCACGTATCAAATTACTGAGCTTACTCACACAGAAAAATCTCTTTTTTTGTGTTCATTCTGCTAACCGTGGAAAGTGACTTTTTCCATAATTTTGGACCATTTATCTTTCTCATAGTCTTATGACTACTTACGATGTCATCCTCTTTACCTCTGTCATCTAAAAGCATTTCTCCCTGGAGAATATTTCTTGTAATTTCTTTCTGTGGCTCCTTTTTGGGTTGTCATTTTTCACATTATTTTCTAGCAGTATTTTTCCTCATTTTAATATGAACCCTAAAGATAGAGGGTGCAGTCTAACACAGACATTAGAAATAGAAGGAATCTACCCATAGAGGTAATGTGGAAAACAAACTGATCTGATAAGGGACCTACAAAGTTTCAGATCAGAAATACACTAAACAGCATCAGGCATAATATGAAAATCCTGCCTCCCTTCCTAAAGAGACAGTGTTGCTGCTTTCAACTGGGCATTAAGCATTCTATGAGGTCACTGGTCTGTCACTTAGCCCTGCTTTGTTTACTCCTGATCCTGGATAGTGTTAATTGTCTATCTTTCATTTGAATGGAAAAACAATCCAATGTCTTTTATAGGACATCCGTTTTGATTACAATGAGATCACTTCTTGTAAAACAAAAGGCAGAAGAGTGTCTTTTTGGAGTGATTTCCTTTGGAAACAAGGCTTATAAAGTCTGTGTATCTGTACTCTCCAAATTCAGCCGCATGTGAAGTAGAGGCTAGAGGTCCCAAAGATAGCTATTCTTCCACAAATATCATGAAAGTAGGTGGCTTGATGATGGAAAGACTGCACATGGAAGTGGCACTTTGACATTAAATGGAAGTAAAACATTACAAGGGCACTTGTACGGACGGACATAAGAAATTATCTTAAGCACAGAAGCTGACCAATGATAAGATGCAAATCAAGAGGAAACTGGAATTCTATAGAGCTAATTCTCCAGAACTACTTAGTCTCACATATTTATTTGCTTTATTTTGATGTTAGCTCCAGCCTCAGTTGCCAGTAACTTCAGTGTAAGTGTACTGTGACCCAGAACTACCATATATACAGCCTGTTTGTGTTAGATTAGACCATACACTAAAAATGACGATTGTTCTACAGTACTGCAAGCCAAGATTTATAATGCTCAAGACATGAAAATACATTTAGTTCCTAGTTTCCTCCTATTATTTATTATACTAGAAAAAAAGCTTCACTCTTCATTTATGGTTTAATATGCACAATATTCCTATCAGTGCAAAATAACCAATTGTCCTGACATTTGAATAACTGCAGTTCACTGTATCATATATGAAGGCAGAAAATAAAACTTCTGAGTAGAACGGAAAAGTAAGAAGCTGTGCATTATCCTGCCAGGACTGCTTTATAATGCTAAAGAAATAAATGGGGAGACAAGTTTTTTGCTGTGACATTTTAGTGCATGTTTTTTAAATACTTTGGAGGAATGAAAGAATCATGGTTAGCAAATGAAGCTGCAAGTAGAATGTGCTCAAAGAGAAGCAGTTTCCATTTCCAAAACACATTCATTGAAAGCCACAAGTAGCGTCCAATTGATATCTTTGAATCTCACTGACTTCTCAGATTGAGGCAGTTCTGCTGTTTACAAGGAAGAAGCTGCTGTTGATGCTTGTTTGTTTGTTGGTGAGTGGGTGGGTAGGTGGAGTTCTTTTGGAAGTGAAGTGGGATAAAGGAGTAGAAAATGAAGTTGTTTAGTAATTTAGATCTGATATCCCACCGCATTAGGGAAGTCTTCGCTTGAGCTTTCCAGGAACACTAAAATGTGTTGGCATTGAAATGGCACTGTGCTTTGCGGAGTCTGTACTGGCTCCGTATAATGCTTAGACTATTAAGGATTTTCCTGTTATGGTTTGTTGTTATGATTGATTTCAAAATTGTTATCCTACTTTGCCTGCAATCTCTGCAATTAACACTGGCTTTTTCTCTTCCTCTCCCCTTCCTACCTCACAGATGCCCTCCAGATCAAAGATTTTTAAAAAACAAAGTCAGTGGTTGGAAACATCTCAATCTTCTGAGAATATGGTTCAACTGATAGCTGTCAGCTGTCCAGAAAAAAAAAAAAAAAAAAGAGTGTTTATTTCTTCAGGTCTGAAGATCAAGTGTAGGAAGACAGTTTTGCTCTGACATTGGCCACTTAGGCTGTATTAACTGAGACTCAAACATCTGAAAAACAAATTAATCATTGAATAGGCAGTCTTTTTTTTTTTTTTTTCAGGTTAAGATTTAAAAATTTAGTATTTTATAAACTGCCTTATCTACTTCTACATAATATTATGTCCTATGAATTCTTTTGCTTCATAAAGCAGTCCATTCAAAATAACCCTTATTAAAATCAGATGTTGAAAATAAGTGTAAATATTTCTCAGGGTCTCAGAAGCCCCATTTCAGGTCAGCCTGGGATGTTAGTGTGTGCCTGAGCTGGTTATCAGAGGATCAGTCTCTAGCTCAAATATCTTCAGATTTTACACAAAAATTCATGCTTAAAACTAATTTCTGTGAAGGAACTGCCATATTGTTTATATTCTACATAAAATGGTTTAGCAAAAATGAAAGCAGTAATGCAAACCAGTTCCACTCAGACCTTTGTTGGTGATTTCTTCCCTGCCTATGTGCTGACACAATGAATGGATTAGAAACCTTTGCACTATGTTGATTATTTGTTTTCCTAGGGAAAAAAAAAGCCAGTGTGAGAGTGGGTGGGAGCAAGTTAACATATATTAATTATTCTTTGATGCCTAATTTCAGTCCCATTGTTCAGCCCTGAGAGGATTTAGCATTATTTTCTTAGGTTTTGGAGAAAATCCAGCGTCTGTGTAAACACATTTTTGTCCCATGGTTCTTTTAGCTTTGGCTTTTCAGCCCTTGTACATCAAATTAAGTTTTTGTTGACACTTCCCAGAATGGTTTTACTTCATACTATTATTTCAGAGGAAAAGGAAACACTATGAGAGACCCCACTCCCAAGAGTGAATTTGGTTTCCTTTCCAGCAAAAATGTTTTTAAAATCAATTCCTTCTACCAGGTGGTCTTAATTAAATTCTGAAGATATTTACATGTGAAGTTCATTATAGTTTCAGAAGAAATATAAAGTTTCTGCAACATGTGCAACCTAGAACCAGTTTCAGGTAATGTCCTACAAAAATCTGCTGAATCCCAAACAGTACTGTTGACATTTTAAAATAAATAACACGTTTGTCACTAATCACAGATGTGCACTCTGAAATTAAATACCAGAGACAAATATCCCAGTCTGACGACCATGCATACCACTTATCTAGGACTGGACTTTTTGTTCCCCCAGGCAGAGTATCTGGTTCCCTTGGGAATTCCTGCTCAAAATCCTTGAGTCTGCCTTCAGAAAAGGTGTTAGCTAAGGGTGAGCTCATTGTGCAGTGCAAGTGTCCCACAGATAATCGATGGACTGAGTACAATTTTAAAGCTGGGAAGGCAGTGAGTTGCTGCTGCATACCCCAGGGGCATTCGTGTTCTGTGGCTTGAATGTCAGTGGCATGGTCTTCTGGGCCCTGTGATAAAGTCCTGCATGGTGATCAGCAAATTCAAAAGCATACAGAGGAGGACAGCCTGCATGGCTTGACCTCAAGGGAAACTTTGAACTGAGATCAGAGAGTCCATGACAGGGAGTTTCTGGAAACTCCTGGAGTACAAAGGCTCCTTGGGTACATGGTAAGTTGAGCTGAAGGCAACTCAGACTGACTCTTCACTCTAGAAAGGCCAGGCCTTTTTATGGCAGTTTAATTCTGTAAGTAGCAGTAGAGTAAACCAGTAGGAATTATTCCTGTTTTATTGTGTAGTGTAATTAAGGCAAAATATTAATACTGTCTCTTAAACTCTGTAAAGCAGTGTCTGATACTGGGATTTGCTCTGAGTGCTTTCTATTGTCTCATCTCATTCTCCTAAACTGCCTTGCTTTGTCCAGAGTGCATATAAATAAAGTTCAGAAAATGAGATGTTTCTATTCTTTGATGTTTATATTTTTCTGTTGGTGAGATGCATTATGAAAATTCAAGGTGCATTCCTCTGCTGGGGGTATTGTTTGAATAATTGTATTCTTACTGCCCACTGCATGGAATATGGTCCTGCTGTAAAGGGCCAGCTTAACTGTGGGCTGCTTTTCTGAGACTGTGACTGAGCAAAGGAAGCCAGTTGAACAGAACAGACATCACAGACGCCTCAGTGTCTTAATATCCTCACTTCTCTTTCCCCTTGTTGTTAGCACAACACAGCTCATGCTTACCTGAACCTAAGCATTATCCTTCTGTATGCTCAATTTTTTCATAAAGATTATTCTTGTTTTCTATTTTTAAAAAAGATTAACAGGTCACTCAGACTCGATTCTGAACATCCAGCTGTTGTGGTAAACTGGAACAGGTTTTAAGAAATAAAAGAATTAATATGTGTATCTTGTCCAGTCTCTCCCTTTAAATTTTTTAAGCTTGTTTTTTTTTTCACTCTGTTTTTCAGCATCAAGCGAATGACAAAAACTAAGTGCACAGCTTTCCACTCCAACTACATGCAACGTTATTCATGTCAGCCATCTTGAAAGTCTGATTTTAAAGAAGTACATGTCTAAGCAATATTAGCCAGAGATTTAATTGTTTCCACATGCTCTTTGTTCTTATGCTTGTGCTGAAGTGGTTTCAAGAAGAATTTTCTGCAGTATTTAATCAGTA